GGGGGGGGGGGGGGGGGGGGGGGGGGGGGGGCCTCCGCCCAGCACTGTAGTAAGTGATTCACATGCACTGGGCTACGGAATCTGAAGGGCCAGACATGGGAAACAGTGGTGGTGGGAAGATATGCAAAACGACTTTCAAAATCCCACAACTAAATCTTTGTCAAGTATCCTTTATTAATCATTCACTCATCCTTTCTTCTACAACTATGGTCAAGCAGGGCGTTAGAGTTGTAGGAATGAGAAGACAAAACCATGGCCTCAAGGCACTCAGTAAATATCATCTGAACAAATCAGCTCCTATTCTGGTGGGAAATAGACTCAGTCAATTCTACACTGAGAAAAACATGCAGTACACACAGAAGCAGGGACAGGATGCTACAGGAAAGAAGAAGAGGAAGACTGGGGTTGCTGGTCAGTCAAGTGACATAATTTCTTGTGTAGATGCTTTTGCTACAACAGACACAATCTTCATCCGAGGTGCTTTCAGCCAAGTGGTTTAGTTTCTATTAAAGGAACTATACACTTTAATACTTGACTTTATTCACACATTAAGTATTTCACATATGAACTGGCCTTATAAAACACGAATTTATCCTTACTGCCACCCTCTCCAAATTTAGATAGACAGACTCCAACACAGAATAGCTAAATTCTTTGTTCCAAGTTTACAGACCCTGTCAGGGGTATGAGCACCAGACACTGCTGGCTCCCAGACCACCTTCCCTGTAGACTGCACTGAATTTTGCAGGTCAAATTAAACACAGAATCAAAATTTGCTGCAAATTTTCTCTTTCACAAAAGTTGCTGAATCATAGCTGAATATAATACCTTTTTATCAGAACACATTTTTATAACAAATAATTAAAAAATCATAAGATGAAAAGAAAATCAAGTAAGCAAGTTAAAAATACAATCCCTCTACCAAATTTTCTTTAGGTAAAAGAATAAAGAAGGCTGTCTGCCAAGATCAAATGTGAAAAGATTCCAAGAGGAATAGGCTTTGCAATCTGGGAAGAGTAGAGAAGTACAAGAGAGCTGGTTTCCTTCAGGCTCTTGAAACATACACAAAGACTGACAGCCTACAATTAATCATTCAGCACTCTGAAACGATTAAACATTAATGAGAGACATGTAACACCTACTATAAAAAATTAAAAGGTTTGAATAAATGAATAATCTCACTGTAATCCTAGAAAGGAAAGCTAAGTGTTACGAACATGTCAATTATCTTCAAGTCAATTTATACATTTAATATAATTCCAACCAAAATCCAACCAAAGGCATGGATGGATACAAAAGAATATTCCACAAAACACAAGAACTAGAGGAAGTAAGAGTTCAGACTTTACCAAGTAATAACAACTTACAAAGCAAGAAATTAAATTACATTTACTCATTCAAAAATAGTATCTAGGCCACGAGAAAACACAGAAATAGACCAACTGCGTGAAAGAATATATAACACACAGAAATAGAACAACTGTATGAAAGAATAAATTCTGTGATAAAGCAGGCCTTGTCAAGATGAGAAAGGAAGCATGATCCTGTAAATGGCAGTAACTGAGTAGCCAATATAAAGAGGGAAAAAATCAATTGTGCTCTACATCTTAAGCCAAAGAAACCCAGGTAGCATGAAGTGCTAAGAATTATTAAATTTAAAAAAGAAGAAAGCAAACTAGTCATCAGATTTTCAGAAAAAAATAAATCAAGAACCAGAGGCTTAACTACATGAAAATATAAAACTGCTAAATAAAAAATGATAATAAAAGTAAAAAGACTAGGGAAATAATGGACAGAAAAATAAAAAAGGGTTCTTGCCCGTAACACCAAACAGGTGGGCCTACATCAACTGACAGGTTAGCACTAAGGCTGAGAGATCAACAGGTAAAGAACACAGGTAACTGAGATGAAAGAAAATGGTTAAAACAACAAAAAGCAAGCAGTTAATATTACAGTGCTGAGGTGGTAAGTGAATTTTCCCTAATTTCCTTTATTATCACATGTGTAACTATCAAACATTAAATAACCACTTTTAAGGGAGTGGTAAAGCACCCCAGAACCAGGTCTTACAACCCTGGCATCCTGGAAGGCAGGAATGAGCCCCCCTCTTAGCACACCCATAGCACCTAGTTATGATGCTGCATACATGCACACACTCAAGTTATTTGTAGGCTGATGGCCAGCTAGTTCAAGAAACAAATGCAGAACTCAGAGACTGTCCTGGATATTTCTAAGGCAATTTTTAAAAAATCATTAAGGCAATGGAAAGACATGTGCATTTTGTAAATGCTTATGACTTGTTGAGCCAGGGTGTCTGCTTTCTACCACAATAGTCTAAATACTTCTTCAGTTCAGCTCTCTATAACCACATTAAGTGTGTCAAATGTTTCTCAGGGCTCAATTTGTGCACAAAATCTAAACACAACACTGACCTAGAACTTACATTTGAAACTATACCATTAAAAAAAAAGCATGTATGTTTCTCTTACCGCACATCTGCTGTTAATAATAAGGAAAATACCACTTGATACAGGGTAGTAGAAAAAAAAGCCCAAATGCCCAAGACAAGATTTATTTTAGGTAATCTTTCATAGTTTACATATTGTAGAACGTCATCATTCCAAATTTGTCTTTTTCTTCTAGAAACGGTTCACTAAGATTAAGTGGGAACTTAGCCACAATGGGGCAAACAGGATTAATTAGAAGTAATCTCAGCTCCTGCAAACCTGAATATGCGACAGGATTTTACAAGACCCAACTAGAATCACAAGACTGAGAAGAATGTAGAAAAGGTAAATCAGCCTGGCCAGTTAGCTCAGTTGGTTAGAGCAACGTGTTGATAATACCAAGGCCCAGGGGTTTGATCCCTGAACCAGGCAGCCACCACCAAAAAAAAAAAAAAAAAAAAAAAGGAAAGAAAAGGTAAATGAGACTACATTTATTATGAGAAATTTCATTTGTCAAAAGTAGTGATTTGACCAAAGAGGTTCATTTTGTACCTTTGAGTAATTTTTAACCATTTATCCCTCTTGACCTTATTTTATCCTTATTTTACTTATCTCTATTTTACCCTTCCTTTGCTTACAGAAAAGAAAGGAGAAAAAGGCTACTGTCTTATATATGGAAGGGTTTTTCCAAAAGGAAACACCATTTTAGAAACTTCTGAATAAAAAAAATTGAGTGATTTATTTCTCACTAGCATGGCATAGCACAACACAACACAAGCTAACCAAATAACAAAATATCCTTCCACGATCTTGAACTATTCTCTTCAGCTCAGCAACTTGAATGCTACTATCGTTTTAGTGAATGACTCTAGGATACCCTTTTTAAAATAATCTTCAGTTAAGGTCTTCTTTGCAGGGCTTTATTTAATTTTCCATGAAGAGCTCTGAATGTCTACTTCTTAAGCTTGTTTAAGTTGACAGTATTTTATTTTCAAAGGTCAATCTTTAATTCACTAAGTCTTCTTAGTCACGTGAAGCTATGCAGCTCAAAGTCTTACAAGTGAACAAAAGCTATATGACAGCTTGATTTCCCCCCCCCAGTGTCTACCAGACAAAAAATCTGAACGCAGTAGATTATCTACGCATAAGATCTTAAGACAATGTATATATTAAAACGACCAGCCGTATAACTACCTGATGGATTAATGGTATACCCCCCCCCCAAAAAAAAAAAGAAAATGTGAAGCAACCTAATATCCAGTTACATATTTTCAGATGTTCTACTGGGGGAAGATGATATGGCCATTAATCTCATCACTCACTTGGCAAATACTGATTGAGCCCCAGCTATGTGCCAAACGCTAGAGAAAGAACACTATAGTGAAGACACAGGGTCCCCGCCCTCAGAAATCTCATAGCCTGAGTAAGAAAACGGACATTAAACAAATTATAACTACATAATACATAAACGCAAACTGTGTTAAGTGCTGTAAAAGAAACAACAGGGCACCCAATTTAATTCTGCGGAGGGGTCAGTTATTTAACTGTAGAAGTGTTGTTTGAGCTGGACCATGAAGGATGCAATGAACAGGAGTCTGACAGTGGTGAGCAGCGCCCCAGGGGCTGGGGAGGTAGGGCACATTCTGGGCAGAATGACTAGCACATGCAAAGGCTGTAGCACAAGGAAGAAGGGTTGAGAGTGGACACGAGCTCAGTGTCCACTGGTCTAGTGCAGGTGTGGGTGAAGGGGCCTGGACCAGAGAGGTAACAAAGACGTAGACAAGTGAGCAGACGAAGATGTACCTAACTGAGAACTGACAGGTCTTGGAAGTCATGACAGATAGAGCACAGAGCACCATGGAAAAATGGGTAGGATATGACATTTAACTTAAAAAGCAGGACTCCAAATAATATATGCTTCAACTAAGTTAAAAAAATATAGATTTGAGAAGAGTGAAACTGGCAGTAGACTTATGCTATAATATGACATGACTTTTATACTTGTAAAAATACTTCTCAAAGGAAAGGTACTGCTAAATTACGGTATATCTAACTGAGAAATTACATAACCACTAAAAACTCTGACCAAAACTTGTAACTGTACACACAAAAAAGATTATGATATAATAAATTTTAAGGTGCAAAATACATAATTGCAGACACAATATGATCAAGCTATATTTTTAAAAAGAGACTGTGTGAAGTAGTACAGTACTTTCTGTTTGCTAATCGTTAAACAATATAATTATTTACTAAAAATAAATTGAGAAAAGGAATCAAGCAAATTAGAAAATATAATCAATGATAAAATATGCAAAAGATATCAAAATAAATACATTTCTGTTAAAGCACCAATGTGTAAATACGAATTATTTTTACCTTTCTTTAATGAATGTAATGCTGAGGTGAAGAAGGTCAAGTAACCAGGAGGCTGGGGTGAGCCACTGAACTCAAAGTACCCGAGTACTCCAGGCTGCAAAACAAGAGCAGAATCAGGTGACTGAGGCACTGTCTATATTGTAAGACAAGAAAGATGTAACATTATAATTTGACAATTAATGCATCTTGTTCCATTTCCCTTTTTTAAAAAAAACTTAAACACATGAGAAGGTTGCAGGTTGGGGTTGAACTTCCCCTCCATTTAGGCAACAAACCAAGTAAGGAATGGAGTAGCAGCAGCTTGGACAGGACTGCACGGTGGTTATGCAGGAGCATTCAAAGCTGAGTCTTCCTTCTCCCTCCCTGAGGAGGTCTTTCCACCCTATGTTGACAGCACAATTCTCCCAGGCACCTGGCTCAAAACCTCACCATCAAGTTCAGGTGCTCACTGGTTTTTGTTGAACAACTCCAAGCAAGCTGTATCAATAATTTCTTTGTAACCTTCCTCAGGCTTCTTCTGCAACCACTCCCTCTTACTCGCTCCAAACATACCTTCACACTTCACAAGGGTTAAATGTGGACTGGCTTCACCTGTGATCAAGCCCCTTCAGGGACTGCTTTTTCTCCCCAAACTGAGAACCCAGCATTCCACAGTCACAACCCTCCTCTCTCATTGGGTCAGTGTGCAGAGGGCCCATCTCCTGTCCTCTTGCTCCTTCACCCCCACAAACTCAGTCCCACCTGCTCATTCCATCTCTCTAAGCTTAAACAGAATGCCCCCTCATTCTGCCAAACCAATTAACTGTCCCCTACCAGATACATTCTGCCTTCCTGCTCACAGTAATTTCTTCCTTCTTTGAAGGCCCTGTGATACTCATTCTATCCAGCTTTGTTCTGTGACAATCGTATCTATCTTAAAAGCCAAACCGTAAGGTCCCTGAGTTTCAAAAGACTGCTGGGCTTGGAGGCAGAAGATCTAAGCTCAAGTCCGAGCTCTAGTGGCAGAATAAATAACCTTAGGTGAAGCCTTGGTTTCATGACCTAGTAAACTGGGACAATTCTTCATGTATTACCTCATGGGGTAAAGAGAGAGCCTGATGAACTATAAAGCACTAGGCAAGTGGAAAGAACACTTCTTTCTAGCCCTAAAGCACTTAGCACCATGCTCTTGATAAGTAACTGTGGAAGCTGATTTGGTCATTGGGACAAAATCAGACTAAAAGTCAAGAAGAAAATTTAATCTGTTGGTAAAGTTTAAAATCAGCATGTTGTATAAAATAGAAAACTTCTGATCTGCAGTGGAACATCTCTCTTTAATATAAACCACTTGCTTATTCTAAGATTCAGCTTTATATAAATCAATTGGTTCTCATTCTTATAGAAACTAAGATGGAATGTTTAGTCCTAACATCTAAAAAATCCAGCAGATAAACAACTTCTCAAACAACCGAGGAAATGAGAAAGGAAAGTTACTGAAAACAGGATTTTCTTTTGTCTTACTCCTTCAAAATGTTTTTAACAAGCAAACTGACAATTGGGAGCCGGCCCATGGCTCACTCAGGAGAGTGTGGTGCTGATAACACCAAGGCCATGGGTTAGGATCCCATATAGGGATGGCCGGTTAGCTCATTGGGTGAGCGTGGTGCTGACAACACCAAGTCAAGGGTTAAGATCCCCTTACTGGTCATCTTTAAAAAAAAAAAAAAAAAAAAAAAAAAAAAAAAAAA